TGAAAAACAGCATGATGCACCTCGCCCTTAGCTTCCATTTCACTCGTAACACAAGCACACAATTCAACAAAAATTTTCGTGCGTGTACATCCTCTCCTGCATCTTTATTTGACCCCTCCCACACCAGCATCAACAGCCCATGCTTCGCGATCTGTCCAAACTGCGCCCACCATGGACGCAGCATTGATCACTGAACATCAAGCTGTGATACCTTCCACATCCTGATGTTGTTGCTTGGTTCGTTGACGCCACACTGTGAGCATGCCAAACCACGAGTCAAACGTAGGTTTATGTCAGTGTAAACCAATGGGCGAAGAGGGAAGGACAGATCATACAGAACAGCTGTAAGTGCTTGCCACATCGGCGCGTGAACAGTCAAAGTCGTTGCACACGTTCGGTACACAGTGGGTCACATGGCACGGCCCAAGCCACAGCACAAACCAAACCACCAGCAACCTGATCCCCTGCCACCTCCGTAGGTTGTCCCCCCCCACTCTTGACCAACTCCCAAAAACCGTAGGGGAGGAAGGAGTAGGTTGGTCTGGATAGTCTCAAAGTCCAACCACATCTGGCCCTCTTAAACCGTAGAGAATCGTTCTGTAACTCTCCGAAATTGGATCAGACCGTCACAACGTCATAAAGTTTTAAATTCAGAATGCACTTCTGCTCTGCTTTCCCCCTCACTTCTCCCCTTCGCTCAGCTCCCCTTCTGTTTCAACAACATCGCGCGAATCTTTTGCCACACGCGATGGGATGGTGTGCGCATATTCAGAGCCCTGGCGCCAGCACTTCACCGCCATGTTTCCTCCCTCCCCTCCCCGCACGTGCGTTCCGCCCAAACGGGTGTTCTCTCTCTCTCCACCTCTTCCCAAGCGGGTGTTCTCTCCTCCACCTCTCTCTCCCAAACCAACCTCTCCTCCGGCCCCGAACCTACCATGCACTTTATCCATCTTGATCAAAATCATCCACTTTATTTTAGGAATTTATAGATTCTCTGCACCCGCGCCAGTTCCCAGTCGCTGTCCTCCAATCTGTGTAAGCAAGCAAGCTAATCAAGATTCTCTGCTTCATGTTTTCGGCTCTGGTTAATGTTCTCTCTACCACAAGAAACTGCCAGCTACTGTACCTCGATTTAAAATCAGGAGCGGGCCGTAATCAGCTGAGCATAAAAGTATATGAGAATATAACCTGGTTATTGTCGATATTTTGGCCGAGTTTCGCGGTGAATGGCGAGCAAGACCTGCACCGTGGCAGCCTGCAGCATACAAGTCACGAGCAACCTTGGAGCACCGCCGGGAGGTTTTCGAGACATGGACAAGGACGCGTTCGCGAGTGCGTCTTCGAAGAGAGGATGGGATGGTAAGCTGGTTGCTTTCCCGAGAAACCCGTAATCCGCGTGTGTAGCATACTCGTTACCAATGCAGCAGAAATTGATGACAGCTGACTGCTGTTCGAGGAGTCTTGTATTCGCAATGTGCATACGTAATGCATAACGCGTAATCGGGTCGATTCGTCTTCTACACGTGCCTCTGCATTTTTAACTCATGTATTTCCTCTGGTTATTTTTTCTTCCCGCAGACATTGAACGGTCGTGTGCGCTGATGGATTCAAGCAATTTGCAGATCGACGGTATAGATCTCACGGATCTTTTGGAAGACGACGACGAATCTCAACAAATCAACTCGACGTCAGAGGCCGAAATTTCTGAGCAACGTCAGCTTCAAGATGCGCTCAACGCGTTGCACGTCTCCAACGACAAAGCAGTGCCGCCAATAACGGGGGACGATTCGCTCGCAGCATCTTTTTTCGTGCCTTGGGCGTGCCTGCCCCCCGCCTCTACCACCAACGGCTCTGGCATTTCTCCTTCCGAAAGGATGCAATGCGCTGGAAGTTTCAACGAGCGTCCCGCGCAGCCGATGGTTCATTCTCCCCCAGTATCGGTGCGCGGTTCCGTGGACCCGTTTCTCATGAAATACCGCCTAGACACGCAAGCGACGAGCCATAGCTTCGGGGGCTTGCCTTCTGCTGCAGAAAGTTCTTCGAGTGGTGTTACTGGCAGGAGTAGCTGCAGCGCTTCGGGCCTAGGCTGGAACAATGGTGGTAACAGTCGCTCCAGTGGTACCAGCCCGAACCTGAGTGACAATAATGGAAGTCCGAACGGGAGCCCCGGTGCCTTGAGAACCAGGTTCGGTATTTCCAAATCGCATCCCTCGGCAGAAGCAGGTTTGGTGGATAGTGAGCGAACGGGCGATAAGGGGGGAGAAGCGTCCGGTCCGGGGAGGCAGGGGGGTGTAGAGGGGGGATGGAGTGCGCAAGAGATGGCATTAGCGAATTCGCCTGTTCGAAACACTGCGCTATCGATGCGTGTGAAGGCTGGAGCGAATCCCGCTGCCGTGGAGGCATATTTGAGGATGAAGGCGCAAAGGGATGGAGTGACTGCTGTGAGGACTGTGCGGAAGTGAATAAAGCAGGCAGTCTGTATTTGCTAATTTTGTAATACTAGTGCAATCTTTTCTTTTAGCACTGGCACAGCTACATGACAGGTTCTGAATTATGTACCACATATGGCTCGTAATAGGCAAATACTATCAAAGAATATAGGTACCGGCACATACTGCACTAGCTAAAGATGCATTATCAGTTGCAAACCGCTGCTGCAAGGCCAGCCGCAGGTCGCGCAGCAGGAGCGGCAGCACGCGCTCCCTCTTGCGCCTTCCGCTTGAAATACATCTCAACAGCGGCGGGATTCGCTCCGCCTACCACCTTCACAGCGCAATCTCCCACATTTATCCTCCCCTTGAACTCTGTCCCAGCGGAGGACATTTCGTTGGGAATGAATTCGCTGCTGCTAGAAGACGCTTCAGAGGGAGAGCGACCCGCCACGAACAGTAACGGGCTCGTAGGCGATTCTTGACTGCTACCAACAGCCGACAAAGCTGTGCAGGTGCTTGACCGTCTGACAGAAGGAGGTTCCGCGACGCCGGCAACATCTGCAGTCGATGATTGTGGGGTCGCAGAGGAGATTGAAGTTCTCGCGCCGCCCATGTCACTTGAGGCCCCAGGGGCTTGATAAACGGCGGCTCGGTATGCCTGCAGGGGGCTTTTGCTGGCGCCGCCGTGGCTTGTCGCGCCGGAACTCCCAAGTGCGAAGCTTCCGCCGATGGGCCAGCGGTTGCGCGCGGATTCGCTTCGGGAGCGCACGCCGCCATGCGCCGACTCTGCGTAGATCCGAGCAAGGGACGAACGAGGCGAATCGAATTAGAAAATGGTTGGTGTTTTGTCTGAGAACGGCGGGAAGAGAGCCGCGTCAAGTGGAATGTCAAGCCGATACAAGATCGCTTGCGGACGATTGACGAACGCGGAGGCGAGAGGCTCGCTCACCTGAAGCTCGGTCGGTCATCGGGGCGGCTCGCCAGTCGATATCGCGGAAGTAGGATCCGCCATGGCTGGACCGAATCCCTTCTCGGAGCTCCTTCCGAGTCGATTCAGAAGCTCTCGGCTCGACGTCTCGAAAATAGTGGCCGTGGCTGGAGCGGATGCCTTCGCGGCCCGCGTTTTCCCACGCTTCCTCGTCTTGACACACCGAACCCGCCGCCGCATCCAGCATCGCAAAATGCCGCTCGATCGCCGGGTCGGAAGCAGGGAAGAAGCGCGCCATACTACTGCTTGTATTAATTTTGTAACAAGGTGGAGTTTGTAGTAAGCGATTAAGTTACCGAAGGATACTGAGGGGATCGACTGTGACGCGCCTTGAGAGCGAAGCTGGACGGGGTCGGCTCGAGGGAGGACTTGGGAAGGGCTTGGAGTCGACGAGAAGAACTCGATGTGAAATGACGAAAGAAACATAAAACGAATGTATTACTAAATCATGAATGCTTTCCTAAATCCTCTCCTCACACGTGGTTGAGTTTAAGGTGACGCTTTTGATTGCTCGTGGAGCTTCATTGCTGTCACTCTTTCCGGCCAATGCCACAGCCAACGTGCCGTACGTGATGCTCGTTTTCTGGACTATATTACACCACTGGAGATGGACGAATCCTGGAGCACACACACGAACAAACCAGTCCAATCACCGTCAAGTGCTACAGCATCACACACACCCTTCCTTTGTTTGGCGAACCGCGCTCTTTCCCCGAATTGGCTTGGGACTGGCTTGGTGATAAAAACTGGAACCACGTGGGAATATACAGTAAGTACCCCAACCAAATCCATGGAACTGGAATCTCGAACCTGTTTTCTAGCTCCGGAGTACCCCCGAACCGATTCAGTACTATGGCTGGGTGAGTTGAAACTTGACAGAAACGTTTTGTGGTGGTGATTGCGCCGCTTGTGCTCGCGCCGCCATTTGGAGATCCGAATTCACTGCAGCCCGACGCAAACCAAGTGGAACAGAAATGGAACAGAAAGCCAGGACCGAGTGTGGGTAGCGGGCAAACTGGACCTCCTTTGAGACCACTGAATGGGCGTCAGCCGACTCTCGGGATTAGGGAAAGGCCCCGGCACCAAACATCTGATTGGGCATTCACACAGATCAAAAGCAGTCAATGAATGATGCCGCAATGCGAAGGCTGGTTATTCAGGCCGTGGTTCGGCGTACATTATCGGCCCCGAACCACTCCCGAACGTCTCCTAACTCTCGATCCCTTTGAGGACGTCCCCAGACTCACCCATGGATCGATCCAATATTCCGACAAAAACTCCCTATAGTACATCTTCTTACGTTTCATCTCATCCTTCTCAGCAGGAGCTCCCTCACTAAAAAAAACCAGACGATCCAGCCATAAAGACCTTCCTAAGTTAGAACAATTTGGCCCCTCGCCCCGGCCCAACTAACCTTCCTAACTGAAACAATCTGGCACGCAAATTATAAATTTCTCGCAACGATCTAGATTCGGCTTATGTGATTGGACCAAATAGCAGTATTTATGGCAGATGTCTTATACGAAATATTAATAAAATAAAAATGTACAAAAAAACTGTCTGGGTTTTGGCTGTCACACTTAATAGCACTGCCAAATGCAACAGATCCTGGTGAGTATACTGAGAGCCACAAAAGACAATGCTGAGTACGGCCACAGAAGAAGTACCTATAGAGGTATGCTCCAATTCCAAGAAGCACAAGGATAAGTGTAAGGTCAATGCAGAACTTCCGTGGTGACCGAACCTATTCCAACACAGAAAGTGTTAAGAGAAAACCAAGTGGGAAATGCGTCCACGCCTTTGTCCTCACCTCGGTCAGAATCTCCTTCAACCTCTTATTATTGTTCCGCAGCGTTTGAGTTGTGGAGTTGACCTAAGAAACAAAAATAATTTGAGTTGAGCAGTTCAACGCCAGTAAAAAAATTGCATCGCCAGCAGCTTACCTTGTTCTCTACTGCTTCCAGCATTGGATCTTGACGATCCATTTCCTGAAAACAAGCGAATACATTATGTGCCGTTAAACAACAAGATGCCTCACTGGAAAACAAAATACCTCATTCATGTCTTGGGCAAGATGCCTCAGTTTCTCAAGACCACTAGAGATGTACTCCAGCTCGACATCCTGCAAACAGAGATCATAAGGTGATTGACAGCGGAGGCAAGATCGGTGCATCTTGCAAACAAAGTGGCGTGAGCTCTATTTATGTTGACACACAGAAAACCACAAATACCTGCTTCTGGACTCGGCGAGTATATTCACTTCTGAATGCCCTGGATTCAGCCGTCGAGATGAAGTGATCCCCTGTTGGTCCAGAGTCGCCTGAAGCACCGTCCCTTGTTAAGCCAGACATCTCAATAACCGGCACATGTCAATGACTTACCCATTTCGAGAGCGTCAATCTGGACGTCTGAAGCACCCCGTGCAGATGCGACGGTCCTCCCACCTCCTCTCGCAATGCCATCAGGAATCGCCTGAACCTTTTCCAAGAGCGTTGTGACCATGTCTGGCCTCTTCGCAGCCTCGTCAGGCGAAACTCCTTTGACCTGAAGTCCGATTCACTTTAGAAAGATGTCATACTAATGCTTTGATTAAAATCCAAGTCGTTGAATACCTTCCGATACGCGAGCTTCTCGAGCCGTTGAATTTCTTTCTGCAAAATGTCTTTAGCTCGCCTGATCTCGGCATTCAGGACCGCAACCTTGGCAAGATTCCTCTCAATAACAGCTGCGTTTGATTTCTGCGACGGCGCATATGCGATAACTGTCCAATCTTAACAAAATAGGAAACTTGAATTTACAATAATATATCTCGCTTACCTCGATCACCTCCTCCACCTCTACTGTAACCGCTGCATACAAAGTCATGAAGCTGTCCGTCGCATCTTCTTTCGTAACAGTCTCCTTCGTGTACGGTTCATAACGCCGTCTGATAACATCAACCCGAGTTAGGATGTCAGCGGCACTCATGGCTCCTTGAGCGAGCTAACCATGCTTCTGTCTAGTGACCGCCTCTCGGACTGCAGCAGGGACCGAACGGAAAATTTCGAAGCACGGAGAAAGCAAGGGAAAATGCACCCGGAACCCACATTCACTGGCTACTCTGCTATGCTCCCTTCTGTTCAATTCGAGTCCACCACCGCTCTTGGTCCCTCCAGCTCTCGCGCAGCGCTGGAATCGACAATTTAGACACGCACGGCACATGCACATGACGTTTCCAAAACAGTTTTTGTTAGGCCCCTGGCCTAAATCCGTTTAAGATTAGCGGGGTAGACTAAGTCGAGGATGAAAACACAGCAGAAGACTTTGGCGATAGAACTATTGGCGGAATAGGCGAAGAAGTTACTGAGTGTTTGAAGAGTTGAATGAGAATTGGTTGATAATGGCAAGTAGCAAGGTTGATATAGCATGCAAGATTGAATGTCGGAAAATAGTTAGTGGGACTAAAAAGTAGAATGCAAGAAAGCATGAGTACCACGTGGCACAAGGAAATCAAGGAAATTCCAAAGGGATTGGATGGAGATAAGGTTGGGATTGGGTTGGGGACTGTTTAGGGTAAATGACCCGTGAACAGTAAAGTACCCCGTAACACTACCGTACCCCCCTCCCAAGGAGGCGACGTCCGCGGCGCCTGCATACTGAAGATACGCTTGAAGGCAAGCGTTGTCGGGAGACAGCGAGGACGACGGAACCCAGCTGTCGTCGGCTGCATCGTAACCACGCCAACGAACCAAGAAGTCGATGAAAGAGACAGCCCCCTGGAGACGGCGACGGTGCCTGAGGATGTGCTGGATCTGGTAGTCGGACTCGTCTGTGTCAACAGCTTCCGGCAGTGGAGTGCGATCATGACCCGAGAAGGTGGCATTGGGATCGGTGTAAGGTTGAAGGAGAGATACGTGGAATGATGGGTGCATGCGGAAATGGGCGGGAAGGCGGAGGCGGTATGCGGCTGGACCAAGTGCGCGCTCAATGACGAATGGACCAATGAAACGGGACGAAGCTTGCTGTCCTGCGGCAGTCGGAGGTTGCGGCTATCCAAAAGGGCACGATCGCCGACTGCAAACGACACCTCACGACGATTGCCGTTGGTAGTGCGTGCCATACGTGCATTTGCGAGCTCAAGGTGCTTCCTCACGTGATCATGGATGAATGTGAGATGCTGGTGGAAGTTGTCTGCACGAGGGACAGTGGGTGTGAGATCGACGCGAGTGGGGACATTGGGGTGCTGACCGTACAGTGCAAAGAATGGCGACATGCCTGTGGACGAGTGGTGTGTGTTGTTGTATGCGAACTCAGCCATGCTCAGCTTCTTGTCCCATGCGGTTGCGTCGTGCATCGTGATGCTGCGAAGAATCTGCTCCAAGGTCTGGTTCATACGCTCAGTTTGTCCGTCTGTCTCTGGATGGTACGCAGACGACATGGCTAAGCGAGTCCCAAACGGTGCGAAACGCTGCTTCCAGAACTTCGAAGTGAACCTAGGGTTGCGGTCGGAAATGATGGAATCGGGAACCCCGTGCAGTCGGACTACGTTATCTACAAACAGCGTCGCTGCTTCCTTTGCTATGACCTTGCCGTGGGTGGGGATGAAGTGCGCTACTCGAGAAAACTTATCCACTGCCACGAAGATGGCGTCGTGACCCCTAACTGTATGCGGTAAAGCCATGATGAAATCCATTGTAACTACCTGCCAAGGGCGGTCAGGCGGTGGAATCGGCTGCAAAAATCCCGCCTTGCGTTGGCGAGAGGACTTCGTACGCTGACACATGTTGCACGAGCGAATGTAATCCTCTACGTCTGCTGCAAGCCCTGGCCAGTAGTACGTGCGACTAAGCGTCTTAACCATCTTATCTGCTCCGAAGTGACCCGCACTAACGACATTGTGTGCCTCGGAAAGAAGGAGCTGTCGAAGAGGGCGGTAGGCAGGAACCCAAATCCGTGTGGTACCCTTCCGTATATAGACACTACCCTGCACCTCTGCTCCTGCGGGAGGCTGCGGTGTAAAGTCGGGATCTACTGTGTAACCGTGCTCAAAGAGTGCTGTGAGAAGTGGATGGCCGGCAGTGACTGTGAGGCTAGCGAGCTGGCAACTAGGGCGAGTGAGCGGATCTGCTGGGTTGCGAACGCCTGGCTTGTACTCTATCCTGTAATGAAAGCTCCCCTCCATAAACTCCATCCATCTAGCCTGTCGACGACTCAGCTGCGGCTGCGACTTGAGAAAGCGAAGCGAACAGTGGTCCGTGCGTATAACACTATCTGCCCCCTCTATGTAGCACCTCCACACCTTATACGCATGGATGATCGTGAGCGCCTCCTTGTCGTGAATCGGATAGTTCAGCTCGGCTCCCCTCAGCTTACGCGAATCGTATGCGATCGGCTGCAACCCGCGTCCCTGGTCCTGAAGAAGCACTGCTCCTATGGCCTGATCTGAAGCGTCGGTCACTACAACGTATGGGCGAGTAGGATCAGGGTATGACAGTGTCGGTGAAGATGTGAGCGACTGCTTCATCTGCTCGAACGCCTGCTGCTGCGCTGGACCCCAAACGTACTCTACGCCCTTCCGAAGTAGGTCGGTGAGTGGACTAGCGATCGATGCGTAACCCTGAACGAAACGACGGCAGTAAGTCGCGAATCTGAGAAAGCTCTGAAAATCCTTGACTGAGGCCGGAGCTATCCAGTCCTATACTGCTGCGATCTTCTTCGGGTTGGTCCTAATGTCACTAGCAGATACGACGTGACCTAGAAACTCGACTTCGGCGAGGAAGAACCCGCACTTCGACTGCTTAGCGTACAACTGCTCCTTCCGTAAGACCTCGAAGACCTTCTGCAAGTGCTGCACGCGCTCCTCTTTCATCTTTGAGAAGATAAGGATGTCGTCTAGGTAAACTACAACGAACGAACCTAGGAACTCGGAGAGGACGGTGTTCAGGAGCATTTGAAACATCGCTGGGGCGTTGGTCAAGCCGAACGGTAGAGCCCTAAACTCGTACAACCCTCGCTTCGTACGAAACGCCGTCTTGTGCTGGTCCTCTGGAACTACGCGAATCTGGTGATAACCCGAACGAAGGTCGATCTTTGAGAAGACTCTAGCGCCCTGCACTGCATCGAGAAGATCCTCTACTCTTGGCATCGGGAACCTATTCTTGACGGTGGCGGCGTTCAGTGCGCGGTAGTCTATGCACATCCGTAACCCTCCGTCTTTCTTAGGTGCGAAAAGGATCAATGCTGCCCAAGGCGATCTAGATGGCTGAATGAAGCCCTGCGCGAGAAAGTGCCTAATCTGCTGCGTCATCTCCTCTGTCTCTGCTGGAATCAACCTCCACTACGGCTTTGCTACTGGCCTACTCCCCAGCTCTAACTCTATTCGATGGTCGACTGCTCGGCTAGGAGGTAACCCTGGGGGCAACTCGTCGATGAAGACGCCTCTAAACTCCGCTAAGAGTGCACTCACTTCAGTGGGAAGAGTTGTCTGATCACCAACTGCTGCGCTCCCTCCTTTCCCCTCTGTTTCTACCTCCTCAAGGAAAACCGCGAAGATCCGTGCCGCACGCTTCACTAACTGTCGCACACGAATAACATTAATGACAGCTGTGGATGATGTGGCCCTATCGCTCCACTGTGGAAGCTCCCGGAACTCGCCATCTACCTTGACGCTACAGATTCCCTGAGCCCAATCGAATTGAGTACTAACCGTCCGTAGCCAATCCCTACCGAAGATGAATTCGTAACCATCCAGTGTCACAGAGTCGAAGTCACGCCTAATCGTGATTGGTCATAGCACTACGTGCAACTTGCTAATGACTGGTCCTATATGAAGTGGCGTCCCATCTACCATGCGAGCGTCCTTGAAGTTGATTACTAAATCTGCTTTGATATGGAGGTGACTAACTAGCGATGATGAAACGAACGAGTGGCTAGCTCCGCTATCGATGAGAATCTTGACTGGAACTCCACGAAGCTTCCCTAGAAGCACGACTGGACGATCAACAGCGTCTACCGAGTTCGGCGTAGATGACTGCTCCAGAGCTGTCTCCTCTACGTCAGTAAACTTGGCAGGTACTGAAGCCTCCACACCAGCTAGCGACCTGCTATCTACTGGCGGTTTCCGTTGCCCTGCTGTCGTTCCTTAAGCTGTGGGCAGTCCCGCTTCATGTGTCCCGGCTTTTTGCAGTAGTGACAGTTCCCCCTAAAACCCGTTCGCAGTGAGCCGTCACCGTTATCTGCACCAATCTCCATGCGCAATGGTCCGTATTAGAATCTTAGGCGAGAATGAGTGTCGAGAGAATTGAGTGTCGAGAGGATTGGAAAGGAGAATGAGGGGTTTCACTAGCAAGAGTTGGGATACAAGTACAACACCCTAAATTGGGTTGTACTCATTACACAGTACCCCACTGCAGGCTAGACAGCAAATACATTCTGACACACCCCCATAGTCAAAGTGGGGTATAATCAGCAGAGCAAGCAGTCATAGAGCAGGTTCACAAGAACAAGCAAAGCTAGAGGCATACACAAAGGGCAAGTGAGGAGGAGGCTGGACTGTGAGAGGAGAGGAGATAGGAGGCGACTGCTGATGCTGCAGACACACGGGCAACAGGAGCGGCGCGCACTGTGGCTACCGGGGCTGTATCCCCGGACTACAGGAGTAACTGGCTCTGCGGCTAACTCTGAGCGGCAGGAGCAACGGACCCACAGGCGACTGGCGCAGCAGGCTCGCTGGGCTACCGGAGATTGTAGCCTCCGGACTACTGGCGCTGCTGGCGACACGACAGGTACCTCCGCTCAACCTCCCCCAACTGTCCCACCCCCCTTTCACACACCCCTTGTTGCACCCCTAGCTCCACTCCCACGTCACCCCCCTAGCACCACTCCCTAGGCTCCCACACACCCACCCCCCTCAGCGACAGCTGCAGCAGTGGGAGACGGAGGAGGAGGAGGAGCAGGGGACGGTTTTCACACCCGCCACCCCCATACCCTCCCCCACTGCTGCACCTGCAGCAGGGGATGGAGGAGAAGGGGGGGGGGGGGGGGTGGGTGCTGTGCATGGCGCGTGCAGAGGGCAGCAGGGCGCACGGGGCGCACAGGGCAGCAGGGCAGCAGGGCGCGCGGGGCGCACAGGGCAGCAGGGCACGCGGGGCGCAGCAGGGCTGGCGGGTTGGCCACACCCGCCACCCCCATACCCTCCGCCACTGCTGCACCCGCAGCAGAGAGATGGAGGAGAAAAAGGGGGGGGGGGGCAGGCAGGTGCTGCAGGTCCCCTCCCCCCACTGCCGCATCCGCACCAGGGGGATGGCAGATACCCTCCCCCCCACTGCTGCACCCGCAGCAGGGGGAGATAGGAGAAGGATGGGGGGGGGGGGGGGGGGGGGGGTCGGTGCTGCAGATCCCCTCCCCCCCTCTGCTGCTCCCGCAGCAGGGGGGGGGTAGGAGAAGGGTGGGGGACCTGGTGCTGCAGATCCCCTCCTGCCTCCCCCTGAACCTCCAAGCTTCCCCTCCCTCTCCCCGCCATCCCCATGGAGGGGGGGGGAGGGGGGGGTGGGCCGGGGGGGGGGGGGGGGGGGGGGGGGGGGCAGGTGCTGCAGGTCCCCTCCCCCCACTGCCGCATCCGCACCAGGGGGATGGCAGATCCCCTCCCCCCACTGCTGCACCCGCAGCAGGGGGAGATAGGAGAAGGATGGTGGGGGGGGAGGGTGGGTCGGTGCTGCAGATCCCCTCCCCCCTTCTGCTGCTCCCGCAGCAGGGGGGGGGGTAGGAGAAGGGTGGGGGACCTGGTGCTGCAGATCCCCTCCTGCCTCCCCCTGAACCTCCAAGCTTCCCCCCCCTCTCCCCGCCATCCCCATGGAGGGGGGGGGAGGGGGGGTGGGCCGGGGGGGGGGGGGGGGGGGGGGGGGGTGCAGGTGCTGCAGATCCCCTCCCCCCTGCTGCTGGAGGGGGGGGAGGGGGGGGAGGGGGGCGGGGGCGGAGCTGCGCGTGCGACTGTAGGGCACGCGGGCAGGAGGAACCCCCTCTTGCCACCCCCTCACCCACCACGTTGCAACAGGGCACCGGGGCCGCGGTTAGGGGCGGCAGGTCGCGAGGGGCCATGGCTAGGGGCGACGGGGCCATGGCTAGGAACGGGGCCGGGCGCTGGGCAGGTACGGGGCCGGGGGGGCCTAGGGGGGCCGAGGGGCCTATGGTGGCCGAGGGGCCAAACAAGGGACCGGGGGAGGGCCGGGCTCCGGGCTTAGAGGTGGGGCCAAGGGGCCTAGGGGCCGCGGGGCCAAACAAGGGGCCGAGGGGCCTAGGGGGGCCGAGGGGCCTAGGGGGGCCGAGGGGCCAAACAAGGGGCCGGGGGGCCGGGCACCGTTCTCTGCGGTGGGGCCAAGTGGCCTAGGGGCCGCGGGGCCAAACAAGGGGCCGGGGGGGGGGGGGGCCTAGGGGGGGGGGCCGAGGGGCCTAGGGGGCCGAGGGGCCAAGCAGGTACAGGGCCGGGCGCTGGGCAGGTACAGGGCCTGGCGCTGGGCAGGTACGGGGCCGAGCGCTGGGCAGGTACGGGGCCGGGCACTGGGCAAGTACGGGGCCGGGCGCTGGGCTAGGTACGGGGCCGGGCGCAGGCAAGAGACGGGGCCGAGCGCTGGGCGAAGGACGGGGCCAGGCGCGGGCTTGGTATGGGCCAGGCGCGGGCTAGGTACGGGGCCAGGCGCGGGCGAGGTACGGGCCGGGCGCGGGCGAGGTACGGGCCGGGCGCGGGCAGGAGCGGGGCCGGGCACTGGGCAAGTACGGGGCCGGGCGCTGGGCTAGGTACGGGGCCGGGCGCAGGCAAGAGACGGGGTCGAGCGCTGGGCGAAGGACGGGGCCAGGCGCGGGCTTGGTATGGGCCAGGCGCGGGCTAGGTACGGGGCCAGGCGCGGGCGAGGTACGGGCCGGGCGACGGGCTCGGTACGGGCCGAGCGCGGGCGACTAAGTTGACGGGGCCAGCGGGGCCGAGGCGACGGGCTAGGTACGGGCCGGGCGCGGGCGTCGAAGTTGACGGGGCCAGCGGGGCCGAGGCGACGGGCTAGGTACGGGCCGGGCGACGGGCTAGGTACGGGCCGGGCGACGGGCTAGGTACTGGCCGGGCGACGAAGTTGACGGGGCCAGCGGGGCCGAGGTGACGGGCTACGTACGGGCCGGGCGACGGGCTAGGTACGGGCCGGGCGACGAGCTAGGTACGGGCCGGGCGCGGGCGACGAAGACGACGGGGCCAGCGGGGCCGAGGCGACGGGCTAGGTACGGGCCGGGCGACGGGCTAGGTACGGGCCGGGCGACGAGCTAGGTACGGGCCGGGCGCGGGCGACGAAGTCGACGGGGCCAGCGGGGCCGAGGCGACGAGCTAGGTACGGGCCGGGCGACGGGCTAGGTACGGGCCGGGCGCGGGCGACGAAGTCGACGGGCTAGGTACGGGCAGTGCAGTAGGTGGTGGGCCCATTGAGATTAGGTCCTAAGACTTAGTTGCTCTTAATACCATGTTAGAATCTTAGGCGAGAATGAGTGTCGAGAGAATTGAGTGTCGAGAGGATTGGAAAGGAGAATGAGGGGTTTCACTAGCAAGAGTTGGGATACAAGTACAACACCCTAAATTGGGTTGTACTCATTACAGAGTACCCCACTGCAGGCTAGACAGCAAATACATTCTGACAGTCCGTCCCTCAATCGAGCACTGTTGATCGGTATGTTGTATCCCCTATCGCGATCGTCACGACCCCGTCGGCTTCGTACTGCGTCGACGTGTTCTGCTGCTGCGACAACTGACTCGAAGGTGGATAACACGTGAATCGCTATAATCTCCGCTATGTCCGACTTCAACCCTTCGAGGTAGCGATCGTGCATCCTTGCTTCCGTGATGTCATCTATTTCGTTGCAGATGCTCAAGAACCATCGTGTGTACTCCTGGATGTTTCCTATCTAACGCAAATGACGCAGACGCTTCCTAGCAGCTTCGGAGGCGTTCACCAAGTCGAGCCTACTTTTCAGCGCCGCTTCAAATCCTTCCCATGTCGTCGGAACCGTGGTAACACCTAAAGCCAAACTCCCTAAGCTCGAAGTTGCAGCTACATGCCCCACGCCCTGTTGATTCCCATCTAACTGAGCCCTTCTAACAGTAGTCTGCGTGAGTTGGTGCCACCATTCCAAGGCCGGCCCCCTCAGCAGCGTAACGGAGTACTCGATCCCTTGCTGCGCGTCCGCCTCTTGCACCCCGCTCGCGGCGAAGTAATTGTTGAGCATGAAGTGTCACAATAGGAACGTACGAATAATTGACTAGGTTGGAAGAGTGAGTACAAGTACTACCTAATCCTAAACTGTTGTACCCTTTAGGGTATGCCCCACTACAGCCTACAGAGAACAAATACAATTTTACACACCCCCATAGGCAAAGTGGGGGATAGCAAACACAACAGACGGTCACAAGACCAGTCAAGCAAGAGAACACTGCAACGCAAAGCTCAGGGTGGATCTCAAGATCACCACGCATTCTGAGCACAAGCAAGCGGCCGCAAGGCCAGTTCACATGCAGAGTATAAAAGCACAAACAGTATTGTGATCACAACCTAGCAAGAGCAAGCATGCAGGTATATATATATAAATCACAGTACAAGACAAGTCAAGCAACCAACATGTGAGGCAGAGTAGGCACAAGGCCTAGAGCAGTGCAGAAACGCTAATGATCACCAGACCCAAGGGCCTTGATGAAGACATCAGCAGTGTTGGCCCGAGAGGCCAAGTAAACAAGGCGCAGCTGACCACGCTGCTGCAGCTCCCGAGCAAGAAAATAACGAAGAGAAATGTGCTTCGTTCTGTGCTCCAGTCTCTGCTCCTGACACAAGGCAATCATGGCCTTGTTGTCGACGTACAGAACTGGAGGAGAACGAGGCGCTCACCCAAGTCGGTCAGCAGGTAGGTCAGCCAGCGTAACTCCTATGCAACCATGGCCCCAACGTAGATCTCGGCCTCATAGCTGAAACCAAGCACAGCAGACGAATGAGTGGACCTCCACGAGACATAACAAGAGCCGAGACTGAAAGAGTAACCCTAGGACGATCGCTGAGTCGCCTGGTCATCAGCCCAAGAAGCATCGGAGTGTCCTGTGAGTACCCCTAGACCCCGTCCTCCAAGCACAAGCCCCATACCTGATGTACTGCATAAGTAACGCAATACCCTCTGCACACCTGTCCAGTGCTCCTTCTTGTGTCTCCCGGGGGCGACGAAGCGAGCAAGGATGCTGAGAGGGTATGCGAGGTCAGGTAGTGTGCATGTCATCAGGTACATGAGGCAGCCCACAAGCTCTGGATATGGGCCACTCAGCTCTACGGACTCGTCCAAAGGTGGAGCTGAGAGCGAGTGGCGTAAGGCAGAGGAGTGGGTTGTGGCAAGGAGAACCGAAAGCGGAAGCGCTGAAGGTGCACCATGTGTGACCGAGTCAGAGTGATGGTGCATCGTGCTATGTCCCGGGTGATCTGCAAGCCAAGATAGCTATGCAGCTCACCCAGCTCAGTGCAAGTGTGTCTCTTCTGCAGCTCCGCCTTCACAAGGGTTAGCGCCTTAGTATCAGCAGTAGCAAAGACCAATTCGTCGACGTACATGAGGATGTAGAACGGCGGCGGAGTAGGGTCGGTGCATAGAAACAGCGACGGGTCAGCAGTGGAAGGAGCAAACCCAAGAGCCGCAAGTGTAGTCCTCAGTGTGTCGTGCCACTCACGGGGCGCCTGGCGGAGATCGTAGACTGGCCGCCGGAGGCTCCACCGGGTACCCTTAGGAAACGACCCAGTGAAGCCAGGTGGGTGGCGCAGCCAGATCTCCTCGTGAAGGCTGCCCTGCAAGAAAGGTGTGGAGAAGTCGCGGGAGTGCAGCTTGTAGTCACGCTGTGTTGCAACGTGCAGCAACACCCGAAGAGTAGTCATTTTCGGGGTGGGGGAGAAGGTATGGAAGAAGTTGACCCCTTGTCGCTGACTGAAGCCTCGAGCAACGTAACGCGCCTTGAAGGCAGGCGGAGAGCCCGACGGCCGCTTCACTCTGAAAATCCACATGCCATCGACTATGTTCACCCCAGGAGGGGGAACCTCGTTGACGTAGGTGCCTGTGGACTTCCAGGAAGCCATCTCTACGTCCATGGCTGTCTGCCACTAAGAGGAGTACTCACCTGCGATCGCCTCAGCGTAAGAGCGCGGGGTCGGGATGTCCAGTGCATCCGGGTCTCCTTAATGGCAAAGTAGCATGGATGCGAAACGAGGTAAAACGACCGCAAGACACTCAAGCTCAAACTGCCTGTCCCCGAGGACGTCACTGCCAAGGGCAGACTCACCCCCGACGGACGGAGGACAGACACACTCAGACTCAGTAACAAGACTCGCGACGTAGTCGAGACGACTCCTAGTAGCAAAGTCAACTAGCTCGGTGAGTAGGGCAAACGAAGCAGTAGACTCAGAGTCAGGGTCAGTGATGACAGTAGCGAGGAGACAAGTGACAGTAGGACTGGCTGCACGAGCAAGGTCGGACTCAGGGTCAGGAAAGTCAGGAAGAGAGGACGCCGGAGGAGACGGCAGGGCAACACGCTATGGAACAGAGGAAGGACGAAGTGCCATAACGTGAGTGCCTGGGACAGCAGGAGGACGAGGATGTGTGACAAGACGAGCACAAACAGGTGTGGAAGCACGAGTCTCAGGCTCACGACGCTCAGTCAGGGACTCAGTCACCTCTGTGTGAGGAGCAGGAACAGGCAGCTGGGAGCCAGGCAGTAGCTGTGGCTGAGACTGGTCTGTCGGTGGACACAGGAGAGGTGGAGTGAGGCCAGTGGAAGACGGGAGACTAAGAACCTGGCGAAGGA